GGAAAGAGAAAAAGAATGGAAGAGGAAGGGAAAAGGGGAAATGAAAAGGGGAGATAAGAGTAGTGAAACAGTGAGAAAAAAAGGGCGAGAAGGAAAGAGAGAAGGAGGAAAGAGAGAGGAGAACAGGAGAGAGAAAGAGAAAAAGTAATTGAGCTGGTTATTGCAATTTGAAGGCGTCCCGTTGTTTCCGTATTCTTCCCAGAACGCGCCGCTTCGTCTCTACCCATCGCGTCCTGCTCCCATCCCACTTTAGCACCCCGTGGGGGTACCTACCCGGGGGAATCAATAACCGACGTGGAAGCGCACGGGGGGTATAGTGGCAGAGCAGAGAATCGCAGGATTGTGGGGTTGAGGGTGGCACGCGGAGCAGTGGAGCTTGGCTCCGCCTCCGGCACGCGACCAGCACGCGACCATCGTCACCATCGTCGTACCTCGCCTCGCCTCACCTCACCTCACCTCACCTCACCTCACCCCACCTCGCCTCGCCTCGCTTCGCCTCGTCTCGTCTCGTCGCCTCACCACCGCCATTCGTGGCCACCACCCCTGACCCGGATCCTTTGCTTCCCTTGATGTCTCTTCCTCTCGCTTGTTCTCTAATGACGTGTCATGTTTTTCTTCTGTCCTCTAGATGAACATTTCAAAGTCCTTATTTGCGTTCTTAGACAACGAAGTCACTTTTCGTTGTCATCATACTACTTTTCGGCAGAGATAGACGGATTAGATAAATTGAAAATTTCATAAAGTTTGGACGATGAATATCGGTATAGAGCACAGCGAGCAATCAATATGAAATAAAATTTCTCACGTAGTCATTAGAAGCGAAGTTAGCTTAACTCATTTATATCTAGATTGTGCTTCATATGTAAATTTTTGATACAACTCTTTTTACTGACATTATTTTTTGCCTAGAAAACAATGCAAAATTATTCTTCTAATTATTTTTCAATTAAACTATTATTTTTCCTATACATACGGACAGATATTATACAAGAAAAAAAAAACATATATGGACATAGTTTATATCTAATTATATATATATTTATATTTAATTTTTATATATTGTTCTTTCCTATGTATAACTGTTATATATTTTAGACATAAAATCAAATTATAAATTGTCTAAAAGATTAATATATTAAACGCACACAATAATAAGAACGATCAATAAAATTTTTATATTAAATGATTCTTTTGTATTATTATTGTCGATGATCATATTCATATAAAAGAAATAGACTCGATAAAAAATTTTTTAAAAAAGTTTTTATATCCAGACAAATGGTCACATTATTAAATGATGATCAGTGAGCAAAAAGTCATTGAGCATCATGTGCAAAGGGGACGGTTGACGATTACGCGAAGACAAGTAGCAATAACGTGTATCTAAGGCTACGTTCCGCTTGGCGATCGCAACGTTCGTTATAGTATCATCTGTGTCTTCGTTTAACTTTCAGTGACCAACAAGGATGATATGATCCCACGAGCGTTGAGATTGCGAAGTGGAACGTAGCTTAAGTGAAGGAGAGAAGGAGAGTAGGAAAATAGGTAGCGGTGAAGAGGGGATAAGAGTGGTAGAAAGGAATCGATAACAACATGGCACGCGATCAAACCTTCGACTTGACTAAATCGCGTTCAGACCGATTATACTTAAATCCTCGCTCATTCGCTTTTTATCAATTGTTTCAATGAAAGTATTTCCGTCTATGCAAATTTTTATTTGTTGTAATATTTTCAACTATTATTAAACAATGTGTGACAAGTGTGTGTTTAGATTGTACTTATTGATAGTGATTCATAATGATTCTTTTTAACGTAATAATTAATCATATCTGATCACGAATCTCACTCATTAATTTTTAATCGTGATTAAAAACATTATCATCCAAGATGAGAATTTTCGGAATTGATATATAAATTAGGGATTTAGCTTAGGCTTATAAATTAGGGATTTGGTGTTTGTTATATCTTTGTAAGGAAGACATATAGACATAATATAAATATACTAATCATAAAAGTAATGATAGATAGAAAAATGTAAGTAAGTAACCAAATCGATCAATCATAGTCAAATATATATTCTCACGAATCGATTATAAGATGTAAACAGCAAGCAAATAAAATATATGTCGATTTGCTTATGGTTTTTTATGTGCCATGGTCTTTACACTTATGCTCGCAATATTCAAAGACTTAGATAAAATAGATGTAAAAAGAAATATATATCTAGTAATACTTACTCTCTTTCATTTGCGCTTACGTGTGCATGTCACATACCGTTGTCTAATTATCACCACTTTCTTTCGTTAACGAGAGACGAAACTTTACTTACCTATTTTTTAAGCTACACCAATGCTCGGTCTATTGATATTATATGGATAAATAATTGTTAATGTAATTGATCTAAAGTATAAGACGCGATTTGAGAATATTATACAACACGGCAATCTAAGAAAAGAACTCGTAATTATCTTTCACTTTCCCCCCTCTCCTTTCCCCCACCCCACCCCCCACCTGGCAATCTGTCATTGTATACAACTGGATATACTATATTTTTGATATATACGCTGCTAAACATACGATCAGACAAACTTTTGATAGATAGATAAATACGCACACGCGTAAAATTTATGAAATCTAAATTTTCCAAATACGTGTAAGCGCATCCGTGTTCTTCATATCGCGTGGAAAGCTTATTTACCGAGATCAGCGCTCGTAATATTATGTATTCTGAGAAAAATCTCCGCGTTCGGAATATCGTAAATAGCATCAAAATATTCAAGCATTCGATATGAAAGTATATATATATGTACATACATATGCCTGGAAGTTTCTTTTCTTTTTTCGTTCTGGTATAATTATTTTGAGATAAACAAACGGCTCGAGAGCTGCTCTGAAATTAGTCTGATGTAAAAGCGCAAAAAGGATGATGAAGAATAATTAGCGAAATTTGTGAATTGCCGAAGTAGTGAAGAGATTACTATTGGATTAGATACAGGCTTTTGTTGGCTTAGATGAAAAGCTCAACTGATGTATTATATAATAGCGAGTATATCATATCATACACAACGCTCGAAGAGAATCGCGAGAAATCCAATGTTGAATCTTACTCATAGTTCCTAAGAGAACGTAATTTAGTCTGATATGAACAAGACATGAAAATAAAAATAAATTTGAAGTAAAAACCGAGTCAAGAATAATGGATAAGTTGATAAATAATTGTGTAATATTACTAAGTGCTAACGTATGTATATATATGAATTGTAACTTTGAGGGGATGCAATAAATTTTTATTCAATAATGAAATAATGCGAAAAGTAAATTTATTTCCACATTTTTTGACACATGTAAAAAAAAGTGTTGATCAAATCTTACAAAACATCAACTCGATATATTATATATATGTCAATAACCTATGCCCATAGAATTTTCCCTTCTCTTCATCTGCTGTCCGCCCACGCAAACGCGAGCGCAGAGGATCCGCGAGAGGAAACGTGCGAAAGAGGGGAGAGCTAGTCGAGAGTAAGTGAGTGGATGGGTGGTTGCTTGATGGTGGCAAGGGCGAGGGAGAAAGAACAGAGGACTGTTGAATCGGAAAGAAAAATACAGTCACAAATCAAACAGAAAACACATTCTTTTTATACCTATTTTGCGTAAATATTTGTTCTGGAAATATACATTCGTTTCCTTTCTTCTATCTCCAGTACTACCGGCTTCTCTTTTTCATTCTGAATATGTACTGAATATGTACGACGTGTCTATGTATATACGAATGCACATATATTGATGTATATTTTACCGTTTATCGTTCGAATGATGTTTTGTCATTATTAATTTTTTACTTTCATTATTTGTACGAAACTCAAACGATACCAACAAAATACATGCTTGGATAAAAGTATGGTTGGATTTGCGATGTAGCGTGATAGTCATCAGTAAAACACCGTAACTTGCTCTAATTTTAGAGCTTCAACAAATAAAAGTAGAAATAATTTGACTCGGAATAAAATCTCAAAAGAAATGGAACAGAAATGATAAAGAAGTAATGGAAGAGGCTGAGAATGTTTCTCTTTCCAACCAGCCGGCTTTTCTTCGATTGAAAAATGTGTAATACGAGCTTGTAGTTCGCTCATACCCTCGCGAGGTACCTCAATCTCATCCCCCACAATTTTCCCATTCCCTAGTACTTCTCCCTTCCATGTACATTCCAGTTTCGCTCGGATGGCCAAACAGACATATCGAAAATGCACGTAGACAATACTAAGTCGCTTTTATTCATCGTGCATCGTCCTTGCAAATACGATATCAGGCCGGAAACATTTTCAAATTTCGAGAATTCTGGAATCAAGTTCGCAATATGATTTAATATTGTGTATTTGCCATTAGCGTTGTAATTAATACGATCCTTTTATATCATGCATGCTACTAAATTTCAATTACGAATTTTGTTCTATACATACACATTTATTGTTATATCATTATCGTAATTTTCCTTGATTATATACAACTTGAGTATTTGTACTTCTGAATATATTGCTCATACATATCTTAACATATATAGTATTTCTACAATATTTAAAATATAATTCCTTCTTACCACTTTTTTTAAGCCGCCGATTTATATGGCAGATACAACGACGAGGCTAAAGTCCATACATCTTCATTCGTCCATTTATGTAAAAGATTATAGATTTGCAATTGTGTGTGTGTGTGGTCCGCATTACTTATGTTGTTATAGTTATGGTTAACTTCATTTTTGCCAACTTCTTCGATTTTTCCGATTAATAGTTTTCGTAAGTGCGGTTGCATAAATATTAATTTGTTTATCCTTTTATCAGGCGCATCTTCCACAATATACACTACTAAATTATATCTAAGAAAAACATAATTCAATTTTTATCTATCACAAATATTGCACAGTTATTGAATAATATTGATTTATATTAACTAGATCTTTTTGATTATTACTTATCAATCATTCCCTTGACGAATTCTTCTAGATCAGCCGATTGTTTCTCTTTGAAGTAAACCACTTGTAACTTATTATTGAAATTCGACTGAGTTTTACATATATGAGCAAGATGGAGAACGACGCTTGATTCTATACTGCCATCAATATGTATTGAAACATGGTCAAAATTCTGATACAATTGTCTAAGCACAATGAAAATTGGTGTTAAATATAATATTATAGTGTACTTAGAAGATCTCAAATGTATATAGTTTTCTTTACCTAAGCTTTTCGAGCGATTGCTCGTAAATTGATCGACGTAAACAACTTTGAAGAAATTTATTATACTTGATAATACAGTCCATATGTGGCGTCCGATCAAAATTTACGAAAATATCTGTAGGATTTAGCTTGTAGAATCTTTCTTTTGCTTTTTGGGTATCGCTTTCATTATCACTCTCTATAGTCACGAACGTTTTAAAATATCTATAATATATCTTATGTTTGTACTTCATTAATATCCCAAAATAAAAATGGTTCATTACAAGTTTTGTCAGAAATATATAAGCTTAAATCTACATAAAAAAATATTATGATTGCTTATGATATACATATCTATATTTTTTTAAGTCCTAAAACTTTTTCTATTTCTAAAATTAACCAATGTATATTTAATATTAATATAAAAATAATCCAACCAGCCGGCTTTTCTTCGATTGAAAAATGTGTAATACGAGCTTGTAGTTCGCTCATACCCTCGCGAGGTACCTCAATCTCATCCCCCACAATTTTCCCATTCCCTAGTACTTCTCCCTTCCATGTACATTCCAGTTTCGCTCGGATGGCCAAACAGACATATCGAAAATGCACGTAGACAATACTAAGTCGCTTTTATTCATCGTGCATCGTCCTTGCAAATACGATATCAGGCCGGAAACATTTTCAAATTTCGAGAATTCTGGAATCAAGTTCGCAATATGATTTAATATTGTGTATTTGCCATTAGCGTTGTAATTAATACGATCCTTTTATATCATGCATGCTACTAAATTTCAATTACGAATTTTGTTCTATACATACACATTTATTGTTATATCATTATCGTAATTTTCCTTAATTATATACAACTTGAGTATTTGTACTTCTGAATATATTGCTCATACATATCTTAACATATATAGTATTTCTACAATATTTAAAATATAATTCCTTCTTACCACTTTTTTTAAGCCGCCGATTTATATGGCAGATACAACGACGAGGCTAAAGTCCATACATCTTCATTCGTCCATTTATGTAAAAGATTATAGATTTGCAATTGTGTGTGTGTGTGGTCCGCATTACTTATGTTGTTATAGTTATGGTTAACTTCATTTTTGCCAACTTCTTCGATTTTTCCGATTAATAGTTTTCGTAAGTGCGGTTGCATAAATATTAATTTGTTTATCCTTTTATCAGGCGCATCTTCCACAATATACACTACTAAATTATATCTAAGAAAAACATAATTCAATTTTTATCTATCACAAATATTGCACAGTTATTGAATAATATTGATTTATATTAACTAGATCTTTTTGATTATTACTTATCAATCATTCCCTTGACGAATTCTTCTAGATCAGCCGATTGTTTCTCTTTGAAGTAAACCACTTGTAACTTATTATTGAAATTCGACTGAGTTTTACATATATGAGCAAGATGGAGAACGACGCTTGATTCTATACTGCCATCAATATGTATTGAAACATGGTCAAAATTCTGATACAATTGTCTAAGCACAATGGAAATTGGTGTTAAATATAATATTATAGTGTACTTAGAAGATCTCAAATGTATATAGTTTTCTTTACCTAAGCTTTTCGAGCGATTGCTCGTAAATTGATCGACGTAAACAACTTTGAAGAAATTTATTATACTTGATAATACAGTCCATATGTGGCGTCCGATCAAAATTTACGAAAATATCTGTAGGATTTAGCTTGTAGAATCTTTCTTTTGCTTTTTGGGTATCGCTTTCATTATCACTCTCTATAGTCACGAACGTTTTAAAATATCTATAATATATCTTATGTTTGTACTTCATTAATATCCCAAAATAAAAATGGTTCATTACAAGTTTTGTCAGAAATATATAAGCTTAAATCTACATAAAAAAATATTATGATTGCTTATGATATACATATCTATATTTTTTTAAGTCCTAAAACTTTTTCTATTTCTAAAATTAACCAATGTATATTTAATATTAATATAAAAATAAAAGAATGGGTGGCGATAAGGCCTCAATCAGCCTCAGTTATTTTTGTTTTGTTATAAATTAATAGTATTACTAGTAACATTAAGAAATGTATAAATTGTATTGAAATATTAATTTTATTTACAGCAACAAAAGCATGATTTAGACATTTTCTGCCCTTCAATAACTATTTAAACAAGACTGTACTAAGAATATTGTTGATGTATCAATAAAAAAAATAAATAATGACATCCAAATAAATAAAACAGCTTATCTGTTCAAATAAAACATAAAATAGACCGTATCTTGTGTTGTGAGTATAGAATAGATTTTGTTTAAATCTATTTTTTACTACCTGCATATTGCAATACCAATACTACTACCAATTTGATATATGTTGCGTTTCATGGAATCATACACTATATATATGTGTGTGTAAAAATTTTTATGGTACACGAATGCACTCTATGAAAAAATTACGATCGAATACTAAAAAATATGATTTTTGACGGTCAGACCTAAGTTTAGGGCATATTGTAGTACTATTATCAGTTTTATGTATGTTGTGTCTTATATAGTCATACACTACATGTGAAAAAATTGCGACCAAATGCTAAAAAAATATAATTTTCCGTGATTTTTCACAGTCACACTTAAGTTCAGGGTGTATTTTTTAATGGATAGTATCAAAATACAAAAAAATATTTTTGTATTTCCTAAGACTATATCTTCTGTATTTACTAAAATATGAAAGAAAATAGATTCCGCATATTTAAGAAAAAGCGATATTTTGGGACCAATTTAGGGCCTTATCGCCACCCATATATTGTGTAAGCCTTATTTATAATATAATTTTCTACTCTGTATTACCTGCAATTGTTCACAGGATAAGAACCAAAAGTAACATTGGGAAATTCTTTTACTACAGCTGATAAAGCATTTACAAATACTTCTTCCCTAGCATTAATAAACAGTTCTTCTTTTACGAATCTTCTATTTGTTGATAGCAGTTCCTGAAATAAAGTTTTGTATAAAAATATAAATTAATTAAGAAAAGAATTTTCAATAGTTTCATTAAAATATTTACCTGATACAAGCTTTGGAAAGATTTCTCAAAAAATACAGGTGAGCCAGGAAAAACATATACATTTTCTAATACAATATATGGATAAGTATTTGGCTTGCCGGTGTTTGGGTTTGAACCAAACTTTAGAGACGCTTTCCGAGGAATTTGAGCCATTTTATAAGCAAGGGATGAAGGATCGTTAATCCCAAATTGATATTTTATTATATCCACTAATCTGGGATGATAATGTAATGTATCATTGAAAGCTTTAGCAAGACCTATAAATTATGATACTTTAAAATATTTGTGTATAATTATCATATTTGTTTAAACAATCACCTTCATATGTAACATCATCATGTGTTGGTCCAATTCCACCAGATGTTATAACATAGGTATATTTGTTGAAGGCATCTCTAATCTCTTTTGAGATTTCTTCGACATTATCACCTATAACAGAGATCTACAAAAAACAGATTGCTCATATTATAGAATAAATATTACGAAAAATAAATTTTCTTCTGCATATTACATTTACAAAATATATCTGGTAATATATAATTGTTGCAGAAGATTAAGTTTTTCATCGCTTACCTTTTTCATTTTAATACCACATTTATACAATAGATTACATATGTAATAAGAATTTGTATCTTTCACTTGTCCTTTCAATATTTCATCTCCAATAACTAGAAATTTATAATATGTCATCATAGAACAGTTGCTAAAGTGTTAATATTAATGTAACAATGTTATTAATCTTCTTTTGTATATTCACCAATTATTCTTGCTGTAGGATGGTTTGCAGTTGTTGCATAAAACTTTGACGACACTTGTGCACACATTATACAATGTTTTATACGAATGTAAAAACAATGGAAACTTATCATTATAATTTCTTGGTAAATGTCTAGTTTGACTAAACTTCGACTTTAAATTTTAATAAAAATACACTTAATAGATGTCTTTTTGCAGAAAAATAAAAGTTTGAAAAGTATAAATTATCATCTGATAAAATCGTATAAAAAATGTGATAAATAATATGATATATATAAATTATGTTAAAGAATAATATAAAAAGAATTATTAAGCGTTAAAGATGATACTACTAGAAGATTAGAAAACCTGTCATAATGCACCGAACTCTATACATACTGGAATGAGCGATATTGTTTGGCGCTATCGCCACTATTTCACCGAGAAATAGGTGCGTTTGGATGATGGCATCTCTTTCTAGTATTACCTGATTGGTCCATGGCATGTCGCTTGACATCATTCTCAGTTTATTGATGTCACCTCTCTTAGAGTTTTCTCTGTTTATGGTCATATGTTATCGTGTGTCACCTCGTTTCAATATTGAATTAAATACTCTTTTCAAAAATATTATCTGAGTGACTATCATGTAATTTAAATATATATATATATATATGTATCGATTTTTATAATCGTGAGAACATGTGTATTATAGCACTGTGAAGCAATTATTTTCACTATTTTCCGGGACCAAGATGCCAGAACGAATCGAAATCGGTACGTAAATTTCTAATTCTTACAATATAATTCTTATCCATCGTTTTATAATCGTTTTATAATTTTATAACGCGTAACAATTTTTATACTCGTATATTATTTATAATTTCATCGTGTAACATAACCTGATAACCGAATAATCTTAGAGAGTTTGATAATAATTACAAATAGTATAATTGATTTTTTTAAATCTCCCAGGTGTTATCCCGAATAATTTGAGACATGAAGAAACTATAGTTCAAATAGCAGAATCTCTGGACAACTTGAGTGATGCTGTCTCATATATATTTGATTGTATAGACAAGAGGCTTTCAAAAAATACGCAAAGGTATATAAAAAAAACTTATCAATTTCTTGACTGCTAATACTAATCATAATTATTTATTAGATATAATTAAATACTAAATGTAATTAAAACTTTATAACTAAATGCGATTAAATATGATTATTATCTTTATTAAGTGATTTTTATCAAATTTAATTAAATATAATTTAATTGCGGCATTTTTATTTAAATAATGACAATATTTTTAACAAAGTAAACAAATTGATTTTTGCAGATTAACTAGCATTAAAGAAAGAGCAAGGAAATTGGAAGACAGATTGCACTATTTGCAGACTAATTTAAATTTGAAGGCAGTAAAAATGTACTCTGCTGCTAAGTATCCAGCTAATCATACTTATAAGGAGTATCAAATGACTGTACCTCCGCAGCGCAAACATGCGCCTATTATACCAAACGCTTATAAATGTTCTGTGCCTATAAAAGATATTCCCGAAGCGTATTTATCTTCTAATTGTAAGACAGAGGACGGTCACTATACTGCGAATGTCAATCTCCAAGAGAAGCTCCAATTTTATCACGTACGATCAAAGGCTAGCAAAAAAGATAACCCTGAAAATAATGAGGAGCCATTGCCACCACAATTATCTTCAGTTAGCGCCCTCCTACTATTTGATAGCATGGATAGTCCCTACGAAAAAACATCCACGAGATCATCGCGTCAATCTACTGACAAGCAGCAAATTGAAGATGCGCCAGATTCGATTGTACAACCGTGGCTGTCGTCGGATATGGACGCGTCTTCCAGTTATTTATATACTCCAACTCTTGGAGAGGTCAGATTTTTCACGTAATACATTAATTTACACGTATTTAACAACAATTTCTGTGAATTTTAAACTACTTGTGTATGTTGCTTTTTTTAAATTTACAATTTTTAAATTTATTCTTATAAAAATTTTTATACATTTCAGGTTCCTCAGATAAATGTACCACTAACACTCCCGGATTTACCGGGTATTGTGGATGATGAGAAATTCGTGCTCGATTTTAATTCTCAAAGCCCTATCGCGCCGTCATCTGCAGTCACGACGCCTACCGTTCGCTTGGATCTGCCGACACCGATCAGCGACGAAAAAGACTCTGGGCCGAAGATGGATGATAATGTTCCACACTTGCCCGTTCTGCCTGTATCTACTATCGTGACAACCGCGCTGCAGGAACCTGCGCCACCACCTCCTCCACCTCCTACGTTTACCATAAAAGCAAACAATGCTGCGAGCAATGAAAAAACTAGTTTCCAGCAAATTATGGCACCACCGCCGCCACCACCGCCACCGCCACCACCGCCGCCACCGCCAGCTAAAGATTCGACTGTTTCTGCATCAAACAGCAATGCGGAGAAACAAAAGAAGACAATGAGCTGTCCGTCTGCGAAAGCTACAACGGATGATCGTTCCAATTTGATGGCGGCGATTCGAGACGCTGGCGGAATAGGTAGAGCGAAATTGAGGCCTACTGCACCGGATGCGAAGAAGCACGATCGATGGTCCTCGGCATCAGTCGGGGGAGATCTGATGGCGGATTTGCACACGAAATTAGCTCTGAGACGCAAAGGTATCGCCGGCTCCACAATGGGCGCTCTAGAAAGAATGTCCAGTCTGATACCACCGCCTCCAAAACCGAATGAAGCGTCCGCGTCGGACAGAAATTCCGCCACCAGCGAATATGACTCTCAACCTGACACAGATGATTGGGAAGAGTGATTATTACTGTTGCGGTGATTAATCGAACGTCATTCTATTGAACATTTATTGTAACATATGGAACAATTATGTAGACAAATGGCTTAAACTGTCAGTATTCGCGTATAAAGACTCAGGGGAAATTCGATAATAGACTGAAACATGCGGATGATAGCCACAATACAGATCTAGGTATAGTACTTTCTTTTTTTCAAAGATATGAAAATTACTTGTTTTAAAATTTTATTCGATGTGTGGCTGCTGATTATATCTTTCTCTATAATTAATTTAAACACAAGTTTATGTTGAAAAAATCGTTGTGATAATATTATAATTCACATAGTACAGGCAGAAAGACATTGTATTATAATTATATATACAAATGAGCAAATTACATATTTTATATAGGGATAAAAGATTTCTTATGAGAATATAAGTGTATATAACAGAATAGAAAACTTTATTTTATACATCAATTCACAGTTTTTTTTTATAAACATTTCTTTGATTATTTGTTTATAATTATATATAT